AATGTATGTCCTTGAGATACCATCGTGTGGCATCTCTGATACAAACCCATTCTATATTTCTATCCACTAAGGCTTGCCTATCTCTAGACCTTTTGGGTTCACCCTTTCCCTTTGGTTCTAACTCTATCCAATAACCTTATATTTAAAGACTACTTCTTCTGCAATGAGTGTGTCTAGCCTGCCCCCTGGCATAGGACATGCCTGAAACTATACTTTCTCTAATGAAGCAAAGAGAATATAGACACTATTTAATTACTATTGTTATCTATACTTTATTTCTAAAAGAGCCAGTCGTATTATTAACATAATCTTTATAATAACATGATTACCATCATCAACTGGGTAGAAGTCATAGCATCAAAGGGCAAAATTTAAGCTATAAAGTTTGCTGTGGTAATGACATGATAAATGAGTAAAAATCACAAATACCAAGCCATTATTATCCCATCTTCGTCGATGTCAAATGAGGCCTTTCTCAAACCAACCCTGCCATGTCTTCCATTGATTAGCATCACCTCTAAAGATGATAATTTATTTGGAATTGATCAGTCATTAATTTAACATTTTTAAATGCCAAGATATAAAGCTGAATATTAAGAGTCCACAAACGCATTCACTTCTACTGGCTTCTTAAGTTTGAAATCACGGAAACTCCTACATTCTAGATTAGTTGACAAAAAAAAAAAAAAAAAAAACAAAAAACAAAAAAACAACTCAACTGGCCAATTTTTAATTAAAAAAAGAAACTTTTTTATTAAAAGTTACTTTAATTGTGTCACATATTTCACTTATACTCATTCTCACTACAACTCTGCTATTATCTTTGTTTTACAGATGGAAAGACCAGAGCTCAGAGAAATTAAATATACATTCAAAGAACATAATGAGTAGGACCAGCGTATGGATAGATGGAATGGACAACAAAGCCTGTTTTGTTTCTTCCTTCTACTGTTTTACAAGGAGGAAGATCCTTTAACACTTCCTAGATTTACCACCTGGGGAAAGTTATCTAATGCACCTGCCTGTAGGCTCCCTCGTCTATAAAATGGTAATAAGAATAATAAGCATCTCTTAGAATGGTCTTGGAGATTTAACATAACACTCTTAGTATGTTCTCGGGCATCTAGAAAATTAAACACATGTTACATGATAATGTAACAGGGGTTCACTTGATGTTTTGACCATATCCCCTGTGGCTTTGAAACTTACATGCTTTTTTTCCCCTTTTCCCCAGCCTTCTTCTCCCTGTCCTTCTCCTTCCTAATCTTCTTTTCTCTAAGCTCCTCCCTGATCTTCTTTTTCCTGCTCTTCTCCTTCCTAATCTCTCCTCCCTAATCTCATTTTCTCTGAATCGCCTCTTTAAAAATCCCCTGTTCCTGCTAAAGGGCAGAATCACAGCCTTTGGGACAGGAGTCCCCTGTGTTTCTCTTTTGCTAGTAAAGCAATAAACCTTCTTTTTCCTTTTTCTCAAAACCGCGTCCTCCTTATTGATTTGGCATCAGGGACAAGGACCAAGCTTTTGTCTAAAATAATGGTGAATTTAATGAAGATAACCATTGCTAGAGACCCAATCATTCAGAAAAATTCTACATATTTTAGTAAGGACACTGTATTAGAAATGTACTCAGGAAGAGCAAAAGCTGAGAAGTGATAAGATTTCAAGCCTGGATGATGGAGAAGGTACAGCTCTCTTTGGAAAAGAGGGAAATGTTAAGAGTAGTGATCTCTTTGGGAGTCAAAGATGGACTTTACTGTTGGCAGATGGAGTCCAGGTGAGGTTCTATCGGGCTGTCCAGTGGTGAGGTCCGAGAGGAATTCCATCTGTGGGAATGGGGAGCAGGAAAGCAGTGTGGTCTGAGAAGCTACATGTGTAGCGTCTGTGTGCTCCTCTGGTTGATGTTAGTGGAATCAATGAAGCAGCTCAGAGCAGGTATTTAAAATATGGAAAGAAAAGAAAGCCGAACAGAAACTTCACTACACCTACATGAAGGACAGAAGTAAAGAACAAGTTTACTAACAAAAATGACCAAGACCAATGTGTCAATCTATTGCCCGAAATGTGTTGACTGCCAAGCAATTGGATATTTGTTGTTGTTTTAGGTGTCATCTCCCCCACCTGGGGGAGTGAGATAATTGACTCCTTGTTCACAATTCACAATTCTTGTTCATAAGAATCAAAACAACCCTGACTATCTGAAAGAAGATATGAGGGCACTTTGGCTTTCTCATATTCATGCCCAGAGGAGAGAGTCCAAGACGTAACTTTAGGAAAACTGAACTGTTTGTTCTATTGTTTACTTTTAAAAAATGAGATTAGAACAAATTATACCTTTTTTTAAAAGTTCCTTTTAATCAAACACTGCAGATTTTAAATAAGTTTAGGGAAAAAAGTTCAGGATTGACAGACTGCAGGGTTGGTATTGCCAAAAGTGTGGTCCCTGTACCGGATGCCAAATCAATAAGGAGGACATGATTTTGAGAAAAAGGGAAAAGAAGGTCTATTGCTTTGCTAGTAAAGGAGAAACACAGGGGACTCCTGTCCCAAAGGCTGTGATTCTGCCCATCAGCAGGAACAGGAGCTTTTAAAGAGGTGATTCAAAGGCTATATTCCATGTGTTCTCTGTCTAGAGTTGTAATTCATTTGTTAATTTGGGAGATGGGCATTTCTGAGGTCTGCTGGAGCCATCCCCAAAGTCTGGATGACTTCTTTCCTATGGTGGATATGTACTCACCAACAGATAACTTGATCCTGTGTCCCCTGAGATTAGGGAGGGGGAGAGATTAGGGAGGAGCAGGGAGAGAGAAAGAGAAAGAAAAGTGTCCATTTAAAAAATAAGTTGCAGTGGCAGAACAGCAAGGGCTATTTTTAAAGCATAAAATGGACCATTGTTACATTGGCAAGTGCTAATCTTTTTATCTAAGCATATTCCCCTTAAACCGTGTTTGTCAGTCTGTCAGCTTGACCTTACATCTATAATTTTATAGAGTAGTAATCCAACATTATTAAAGTAATCAATGAATAAATACTCAACAAATGAATAGTTTGCCTTGTTTAAATAACATACATGATATTGTAGTTTTTTTTTTTTTTACAGATATATCAAGCATTTAAAGAAGGAGATAAACAAGCATGGTGATGGATGGAAGAATATTACTTCAGACAGGCAGAGCTGAACTAGAGATATATGGATATTGGACAGAGGGATATAGGGAGAAAGGGTTGCAAATGTAGCTGCCCTCTAACTGAGGATCTGATTCCTCCATCCCCCAAGTAAATGGTGAAGTGTGGCAAGGATTATTGTACACACAAATATTCTTTCTTCCCACACATCACTGGCAGGCTTTCTGTCAAATGGATTTTCTTGGATGCAAGGGAAGTTTGAAAATGCAGTGACCTGTACTTCCAAAGCTATATGGGATTGATGAGCATCTAGCTATTAATGGTACGTTTTCCAGCCTCTTCTTCTGGAACTCAGTAAGTAACATAAACTGGTTTCCAAGTTATACGAGCTGGTGGTTTTGGCAAATATTTTTTTCATTGAATAATAATAACAATAATAATAAATCTCTAGCAAACCAATCTATTTATCTCAGCAGCAGCTGATAACAAACTTCTTGGCTAGTATTACATAGTTTAGTATTTTGTTTCATTAGTACCTAGACTGGATATTAATTTCTGGCTTAGTTAAGGCTGTTCTGAAGTATCAGTTCACCCCCCAAAAATCTCAAAACAACTCAATGTAAAGCAGGCATTAGCTCATGCCTCAGTGTGATATAGAAGATGAGAACGATCTCCCAGCTGAGACTGAAGGGCTTTGGCTCCTGGGATAGCTTCATTATCCTACACAGGCAGATGAGGAAAAGTGAGGATGGTTTATGGCCAATTTCCTTTTGGCTACCGTGTGGTCAAGTAGGTTATAGGGAGGAAAGTAGGGAAGGAATAGTTTGGTGAGGAGACCATTGCAAAGTCCAGGTGAGAGGGGATGATGGTGGGAGAAGGGAGTTGGAAGTAGAGTCATGAAAAAGAGCAGGATATTTAATAAAGATTTAGGGGACAGCCAGTATATTTTGGTGAGTGAGAGAGAAAAAAAAGTTACATGCCTACTAAGTGGCAAAACCCAGATACAGAGCTGGAGCTACTTGCTGTGAGGTCAGAGTTTGTTGCACCCATCTGTGTGACTTCAAATTTACTTCTCTGCTAAAATATGGAATAAGCAAATGCTAACAGAGTTTAGCTTATACATCAAGAGATAGAACCACCTGCTGCTCTGATGGTGGATATTAATATTAAAAGTAACAGGTTCACGATGTAGACATTTTGTGGAATGGTAAACTGTTCTCACTATTGATGTTGCTCACGCTTCTTGTTAATAATGTCTTAGCCATGCCATTCACTTACCCAGTCAAGTGTTCTTTCCACCAATCCTCATGGTTTGGGTTGTCTGGTCCTTTTGTTTTGTTTCCCAAGTGGCAAATCAGGTAGTCTTGGGTGCTGGTCTACCTCTAACTGGGCTGAAGTCAAACCGACTGAATTCAACTCCATTGTTCAGGCAGTGTGCAAGCCTGGTACTTTAATTACTCCTACTTACTATCACCACATATTGTGATTCATTCCCTTAAAACCGCCGCAATAGTTGCTGCCATTAACAAATGCTTTCCTGAGAGTCAGATTAATGTTTCCTTTGTTTCCAGCATATCTCCAGCCTGTCTGCAGTAATATACTCAACCCAAACAAGCGTATTTTTCACTCACAGCCTGCCTTTTATGAGTCCCACTGACAGTTCCTTAATAAATAATACATTTCTAAATGTTCCTAAGCTTTTCTCTTTATTAATAATTCCAGTAGCTTTGCCATAGCTGAAGGGTTTTATTTGGTCACTAGCTAGAATTTCTTCTTGCCTGTTTCTCTATATTTTACTTTATTAGACTAATGTCTGCATATGAAGATGTCATGGTGGTGCTCCACGCAAAGCATGCATTCAGTGGTACTGAGTCAGTGCGCCCTCTGCATTCACACATATAATATTGACTTTTTCCTTGTTTTAAGCTTGTTTTCTTACTCCTGGCCCCTTTGCCATGGGAACAAAATAAAATCCTTGCTTTCATTGATAGAAATCTTAGAATTGATTCTCTAGAGACATTTGGCATAGTGTTTGAAAAATGCATTCCAATTATTGTGCTTTGACTTGAGAACTGTAGTTTTTATTATTTTAAATTTACTTATTTATTCTAATTTGTTATACATGACAACAGAATGCATTTCAATTCATATATTCATATGCATATAGAGCACAATTTTTCATGACTCTGGTTGTACACAAAGTAGAGTCACACCATTCATTTCTTCATACATGTACTTAGGGCTAATGATGTCCATCTCATTCCACTTTCTTTCTTACCCCCATACCCACTTCCTTCCCTTTCCTTTTGTATGCCCTATCTAAAGTTCCTCCATTCCTCTCATGTTCTCCCTGCCCCATCCCCATTATAGATCAGCATCCACATACCAGAGAAAATATTTGGCCTTTGTTTTTTAGGATTGGCTTACTTCACTTAGCATGATATTCTCCAACTTCATCTGTTTACCTGCAAATGTCATAATTTTATTCTCTTTTAATGCTGATAGTATTCCATTGTGTTTCTTTATCCATACATCTATTGAAGGGCACCTTGGTTGGTTACACAATTTTGCTATTCTGAATTCTGCTGCTATAAACATTGCTGTGTCTGTGTCCCTGTAGTATGCTATTTTTAAGTCCTTTGGGTATAAACTGAGGAGTGGGATAGCTGGGTCAAATGGTGGTTCCATTCCCAGTTTTCCAAGGAATTTCCATACTGCTTTCCATACTGGCTGCACCAATTTGCAGTCCCACCAGCAATGTATGAGTGTGCCTTTTTCCCCACATCCTTGCCAAAACTTACTGTTGTTTGTATTCCTAATAGCTGCCATTATGACTGGAATGAGATGAAATCTTAGAGTATTTTTGATTTGCATTTCCCTAATTGCTAGAGATTTTGAATATTTTTTTCATATATTTGTTGACTGAT